GTGGGGAAAATTGATTTGGACAATTTAATCATATTCGGCTGGAAAACAAGATTTGGTGTTGAAAATTAATTTGATTGGAGGAAATTGATTTATGTTAACAATTGATTTTGGGATGAAAATTGATTTCGTGAGAATTGTTTTGACGTGAGAAATTGTTTACATAAGGTAAAACGTCCGCAAAATATACACAGAATCTTCAGTACCTTTCCAATTTCTTATCATTTCACTGCCTCCTCATTTTCTCTAAAACTTCGTCGTTTCTCACATGTTTGCTTCATGGTATTCTCAGCATCCTTCTGTAGAACCATATTTCCTGTTGCTTCACGTCTCATCTTCAACTAGGAGGATAATGTCTAGCATTCACTGCAATATAGAACTGATATTGCATAAGGTTTCAAGTACTCTTTTCTTTGTTTTAGCGATTTTTTTCTGTTTCCTGATACTTTGCTTAGCTTTTGAAAGACATCTTTGGCTATACTCATGAGCTTTCGGATTTCAGTGTCACACTTTTCATCCTCTGTTAAACACTTTCCAGGTATTTAAATGATTGTACTTGATTGATTTTGGTATCTCCAATTTATAATTTGCATGTTGGGGTGCTCCTTTTGATAACAACTATGCATTCTGACTTCTTGCAATTGGTATTTATTCCTTCACTGCTTTCTGTCAAAGTTCTTTTCGTTTCCTTTCTGTAAATATTATTTAAATGAATTTAACTCACCTTTGCTTTTATATCCTCTCTAGCAAAACGTAATTGCTTTCCGAACAACCTAATAATTTCTTTTCTTTTATATCATTTTTGTAGTTGCTATTTTCACTTCTGCTTCTTTGGACTCAATTTTTAAATTGATTTTGTTTACACTTCTGAGGCATCCATTAAAATTATTTCTGTATGTCGGCAAACTTGTCTCGCTTGTAAGTGTTACTAACTTTAGAACGGTTTGCTTGATTACATATGAAATTTGTTTCCAGAGCTTTTCCTTTGGCTCATGAAGGAAAATATTTTTCATTGCTTACTTTATTATGAATAAATGTATGGCTTCCCATCGATATTTGATAACCATGTTTGTTCCCACAGCCTGAGCCGAAGGAAAAGGTTTTTTTTTTTCTGATTCTTTATTATAAATACATTTATGGCTTCCCATCGATATTTGATAACCACAGGCCTGTTCTCAAGTTGCAGATATGTTTCTATTTAAGTCTATCCAAGATTCTGAGTTTTCCCGTTGAAGTTGGAGAAAGATTACGGAAGGCAAAATTTGTTCTTACTACAAGTTATTATAAACCGCAGTAGAAAGAGCCACGGCAGCTTATTATCAATATTAATATTAACAATTTTTTATTAGAACAATAAAAGAAGATATTAAAAGACTTTTCATAACAAAAAAAGAAACAATGCATAAAAATAGGGTTAACAAATACATTATACAATTATATATTACCGTAAATTGGTAATACTGAAATATAACGATACAAAACAGCTGAAGTGGTTTATAGCTCCTCTCTCATCATCAAAGGAAAAAATCAAGGGCAAAAAATGTTCACAGCTACTACAGACATATACAACTTCATACTAATGTTATATGCAAACGCATAATGTGACGTTAAAGATTAATTAATAAGCCCACTAATGACACCTTCTTCTTACAGAGAGATGGTTGGTAGGGCTTAATGTACACAGACTCGATTTCCATTACATTCACTTACGTGCTAATATCCTTAGACCTAACTGCCAATCTAGTACTGTACTTAAATTCGTAAAATCGAAGTACCAGCACGGTGGAGTAATGGATAGAGGCTCGGATTGAGGAATCGAAGACTCGATTTCCATTACATTCACTTACGTGCTAATATCCTTAGACCTAACTGCCAATCTAGTACTGTACTTAAATTCGTAAAATCGAAGTACCAGCACGGTGGAGTAATGGATAGAGGCTCGGATTGAGGAATCGAAGACTCGATTTCCATTACATTCACTTACGTGCTAATATCCTTAGACCTAACTGCCAATCTAGTACTGTACTTAAATTCGTAAATCGAAGTACCAGCACGGTGGAGTAATGGATAGAGGTCGGATTGAGGAATCGAAGACTCGATTTCCATTACATTCACTTACGTGCTAATATCCTTAGACCTAACTGCCAATCTAGTACTGTACTTAAATTCGTAAAATCGAAGTAACAGCACGGTGGAGTAATGGATAGAGGCTCGGATTGAGGAATCGAAGACTCGATTTCATTACATTCACTTACGTGCTAATATCCTTAGACCTAACTGCCAATCTAGTACTGTACTTAAATTCGTAAAATCGAAGTAACAGCACGGTGGAGTAATGGATAGAGGCTCGGATTGAGGAATCGAAGACTCGATTTCCATTACATTCACTTACGTGCTAATATCCTTAGACCTAACTGCCAATCTAGTACTGTACTTAAATTCGTAAAATCGAAGTACCAAAAAGGAAAGTAATACTTATTTTGTTATGATATAAAAATATGTTACAAAGCCAAAAGTAGTGATAGGTCCAATCCGTATTATCTTAAAATAGCCATGATTACTGACCTAAACATACCTCAGTATTCCTTACACCAAGACAACACATTCTTGCTTACGATTCTTACTACAGTCACCATAATACCTCAAGTCTCTATGTAGTCCTAACTAGTTCACATATGTACAATTTGTCTGTGGGGTGGGGAATAAAAATAACAACATTTAAAAATATATATTTTATATATGAATATTTACCAAAGAGTAAAGTTCCCCAGAACAATTACCATGAACATATTTACAGAAAGAACACAGAAAAGTTACATTATGGCGGTGAGAAAGTGACTGAAGCCGAGATGCCAGGTCAGTACCGATAAAAGTGAAATGATTAGAAAAAAATATCATTTTCAAGTCCGAAGACTTCCTCGCTTCCCATGGCATGGTTTCCTCTTTCTCCTCCACCATAATACCATTTCCAGGTGTAGAATAAGACCAGTGTCTCACAAACACTAGATTTTGCTGTAGTAGGTTATAATGATAGTAGGTTTTTACAGGGTGCAGCTGCCAGTTCGATACCCAGCTGGTTTTGAATTTCAGAGTTGTCCTACTAGACCATGGTGAGAGAATCCAGCCTAGCCTAATATTTAACACATAACTGGGTGGAGAAGAGATGGATTCATATACTTGCCAATGGTATTTGTGCAAAAGTGAACGCAACGAACTCGATCGGAATTTGAACTCAGTACGCTGATTTCACTTTCCATACCGATAAACACACACGTTTATATTTTCCCTTTCTTTAAATCCACTACTTGGCATGTTTTCTCCTTTTCTTTGGGTTAGGAATTATCATAAATATAGACTTTTACGTTCATATTATTCTCATACTGGTTGTTTATATTCACAATGCCTAAATTTAATCATTTGGGGAGCATTAATAATTTCTTTTCAAAAAATGTATTGCTGGTAATATTTTTTTTTCCAAAAATGTATTGCTTGAAAATTGTATTACTATGAAAATGTATCTCAGCTATTTTTACTTTAAAGTATATTTTTATACTTTCATAGTGTTCTGGTCCCATTTTGACGGTTTCACTATTTGCTTTTCGATAAGACCCTGACAGGTGCTACCACCCCGAGTCAGACTGTACCTAGGAATAACAGCAATTAAATGAGTTTGATCTTAATAAAGGTAGCCTCATATTTTTGGAGCCTGTTTCTGTATATACGCGTTTGTATAAGTGCGTGTTTCTGTGTGTGTGTGTGTGAGAGAGAGAGAGAGAGAGAGAGCGCGCATCTTTAAATAACTGAGAATTCCAAGCTGAAATAATCATCGATAAGAAACGCTCCTTTAAATTGATTATATGATTAGTCAACACACTGCGGGTTATTTAAAGCCAGAAAATATTTCCAGAAAAATCCACTAGTTGGCATGTTGTCTCCTTTTCTTTAGGTTAGGAATTATCATAAATATCGACCTTTACATTCATATTCTCATTCTGGCTCTTTATATTCACAACGTCTCGGCCGTTCAACCTTCTGGACCCACTTCAGATATCTCTTGTGCCTGATAACTTTCTTGGAATCTTTAACCAGAGTCTTTATTGAATCCTGAGTGGTAGATTATTCTCATCGCGTTTAAGGGAGATAACTCGTATCAGTTAATACTTACTATTCTTCATGTCGCTTATACGTTTCTTACAGTGAACCAGTGTAAATGACTTTTCGGTACCACTCGACCAAGAAATTGAACTAAACACCGCCGGGGAACCAGTTATGTTTCAACCAAATCGCTAATCCAATAATCCATGTATCTTTTAGGATAAAGAATAAGGTTCAAAATCCTGAACAGTTTACTCCAACACTTATTCGTATATGAGCGGTATGCTTTTTGCTTTTGAACAGATAGAAATGCATCGTTTAATGTCTGCTGTTTCTGTTTTAATGTTTAATTTACTTTTTTCCTCTTTTTCCCTCACACGGGTAATATATTATACTTATGACCATAATTTATCGCTGTTATTATTGTCTATTCTTGTTACATTAACAATTATGTAGCATTGTTTTATTTTACTTTAAATAAATATCTACCCACCGCTAGCTGCGTTAATGTTTGGCATTTTGCAAACTGACTGCTCACGAGGGAGAGAGAGAGAGAGAGAGAGAGAGAGAGAGAGAGAGAGAAAGAGAGAGAGAGAGAGCTGAAATAAGCATCGATAAAAAACGCTCCTTTAAATTGATTTATTCGTTTTATATGATGAGTCAACACACTGCGGGTTATTTAAAGCCAGAAAATATTTTCAGATTGTCACATTTTTTAGTTAATAATGCATTAGTGATATAAGTTTTTGTAATTAACCCATAGGTAGGGTGAAAGAGGTGCATTCATACCTTTCCCATGGGCATCTGTGCGTTAATAAATAAAATATAACGAACACGACTGGAATTGTAACTCGGGTATCCGATTAACAATTCCGAGCCATTACCCACACACCACCCGCAAATCCAAGCTTACAGCATCTGGCATTTCCAAGCGGTCACCTATCTAGATACTGACCATGTTCGACGTTGCTTAACTTAGGTGATCGTACGGGAACCAATGTTTCAACGTGATGTGGCCGTAGACCCTGAAAACTGGAGTTATGTTCTTAAATAGAGCCGATGTCTAAACTGACACGTACGTACAACCGTTTTCTCAGATAAATGGTTAAAAATGGTAGGTCTTAAGAAAAGCAATCTCTCATCGCACTCTATAGATTGACACCAAAAAATCGCAAAGGGTTTTACGAATTAAGAAAAAAATACATCACTTGAATATTTCTAACATATGCAACAAAAATGGGTTACACATGTAACTACAGGGGAAAATAATGATATAATCAAGATGCTGATATTCCACACTACCTCGAGCAAAATGCTAGGAAGAAGACTCCCATCAGTACAGCAGGGTGACCAGTAAAAAAAGGGGTGAATTCAGAAAGAAATTTATTTAGCTATCCTAATTCATACACAAACTGAACAATCATTGTAGATGTTCGAAATGTTTGCCTGAATATTCAACACAAAGTTGTAAACGTGATAACCAGGAGGCAATCGTTTTGTTGATAGTGTCAAGATGAATTCCATTCCAAGCTTCAATTAAGTTCCACTTCAATGAATCAATATCGACGGCAGTTTTGCAACTGAGTTTGGAGTATACTCCAAATCAATAACATTCAGATCTGGGCTTTTAGAGGACACCTGAGATGGACCTATTAGAGCTAATGTATTTTCTTGAGAAAAATGCCGCTTTTTTACTAGGTACTCTGTAGAAAGAAAGATCTTTGTAAGCATTTTCACTCCAAACAAGGCGGGAGTACCACTAGTATGCAAGGGTCTAAATAGAGTGAAAGTAAGGGAAACGAAGGAATATAGGGGGGTATTGAGAAAAGGATAAAAAGAAGATCGGAAATAAAGGCATCAGACGATGTTGATTGACATTACATTTAAATTTTTTAAGATTATACTTATCAGGGAAGCGATTAAGAGGAAGAGCGTTCCACTGTCAGGAAGTACGAGAGAACAAGCTGTTGTAGTAGAAGAGGCGGTTACGTTGAACTGTTTCGACAGTAAAAAGGTGGGACCGAAATGCCAACCTAGTAGCACTCTTAAATGGATGAAATCGGGGCACCAGTGAAAATACCTCGCCAGAAAATATTTATAGAAAAGGCAGAGGGAAGCCACATTACGTCGGTGAAAAAGTGACTGGAGTTGATACCGATCACATTACATAACCGTCTTTGAATTTTGTCGAGAACCTCGAGATGAACAGCAGGGGGGGGACACCAGACCATATATGGCAACAGTATTCCATGCATGGAAGAATGGTAGATTTGTAGATGTGAAGGATGAACTCAAACGAGAAAAAAAACCTTCTGTCACGACACAGAGAATCAACTTTCCTTGCGGTAGATGCAGCTATAGATTCAATGTAGTTGCTCCACCTCAAGTCAGTGGAAGATGTGAGACCAAGAAGGCGAAGTGAGGCGCTCTCGTGGAGGTGAGCATCAACCATGCTGATAGGAGGCAGGGGAGTTTCTCTATAGGAAGTAAATGACGGCAGTTTCGTTTTAGATCCATTAAAATTCACAAGCCATTTCCTGCCCAAGTCAACCACACATTGCAGGGTGTTTTCGACACCAACCGCCATCTTAAATTTGTGATAATAGTTAATGGAGTTCAGAACTCTAATTTCCTGTCAAAATTGTTTTAAGAAAGCTACTCTATAAATCTCAACTAATAATAAGGCTAACTGCTCGGCTAATGAATGCCAATATTTTCACGTATGGAAAATCTGAATTTTAGCATTAACATTCAGGTAATGCTAAAAGATTCTGCAGAGTAACTCTGTCATTGATTTGTACATTCTATGCATATACCGTTGGTCTATAAGGCCAAAATTAATGTTGAGCTTCAAAGGGATTAGCTAATCCAGACTAGAAAGTTTGATCTCCAAGTCGTAAACAAGAAGAAAAGGACATGACAGATGGAGGATTTCGATTATCCCAGAGATGTCAGAGTATACTGACCTTGTTAGAATACTGAAGACTTTCTGGAACTTAACGGTGACGGTCACGCTAGTAATTATCAGAGCGCTACAAAAATAGCCGGAGTAAATGAAAATCATGAAACGGTCGTAATCATCAATAAACAAGGATTGTGAAAAAGAACTATGATACTATGGAGAGTGCTGGCGTATGAATAGATTTATTGTCACTTTATCTCCAGTGTAAACCACCATTTACTACTGACGTGAAAACTTGCACAGTTCTCAGTGAATTAACTTTCCTAAACAGCCATGTCTATTATGCCTATTATTATTAGAAGTAGTAGTAGTAGTAGCAATCGTAGTAGTAGTAGATTATCCATTTATATGATCATACAAGATGTCTAGCGGTTGCAGCTACGCATTGAGTGACAAGTCTCTTAAAATCTACAGCACTTTCTTCATAGTCCATATTATTTACTCACTAAGTGTTCAAGCCAATAGTGTATAATCTATTAGAATAGATTATATATATATATATATATATATATATATATATATATATCTAATATAGGAATAAATAAATAAATATATATATATATATATATATATATATATATATATATATATATATATATATATATAGGATGAATATGAGTAAAAGTGTGTCACTGAGCTGACTGACGTTACCTTCAGCATCCCGACACCAGAGTTTAATAGGCAGACATGTCCATCCGCTCTTCAGAGGGTATCAGCAATTTACTACTTATATATATTTTTTATTTTTTGATGATATATCTTTTTACTTTTTTGAGTCTTATTTCTAGTAGCACTAGAATATTGGCTGTAAGGCACCGCGAAACTAGGTAAACAGTAAGTATTATTCAAGTATTATATGCATATGTTTGTATAATCAATACATTTTCTGCGCATTGCTGTATACCTTTGCTTCAACTTATATATATATATATATATATATATATATATATATATATATATATATATATGGTTCCAAATAGGTTATAGAAAGAGAAAAGTGTGTATATTAAAAAAGAAGAAGAGGTTGTGTAAATTTTTTGGTTGTAATGTGTATTTTTTTTTAAATATTATGTTTTATTTTTCATAATTTTACTACACGGGTTTCTGGTTTCGCGACCGTCTTCAGGTAAAAGTCAGTGATTTCCACATATTATTAAAAATGATTCATTTTTTTCTCCTTTAATTTTTTCGATGTTAAATATTCTCGATATCGAGAATATTTAACATTGAAAAACATAAGGAACACGTGTAGTAGAATTATGGAAAATAAAGCATAATATTTTTTTAAAAATCCACATTACAACCAAAACGTTTGTGGCACTTCTCTTCTTTCTAATATATATATATATATATATATATATATATATATATATATAATTGAAATAAGGAACAAATAGGAATAAGTTTATAAAATTGTCATGTTTCACTGGATTTATTGTAGCTTCCACAGATTTTTTTTAAATTAGTGGACACTTGGAGAATGTTTTGGGAATTCGAATTCTATACTGTTTGTTTTCATTGGTTGGTTAGATATCAAGATATCACGTTTAGTGGCGTTAATGTGTGTGTGTGTGTGTGTGTGTGTGTGTGTGTGTGTGTGTGTGTGTGTGTGAATGAATTCTATTTGGCCTGTTCTATGTATGTCTCGTTGTGTCTGTATGTGACTTATTCCTGATGATGGTAGCTAGATGAAAAATGGGAATATGTTTGTGTATCAAATATCTTTTTCGGCGTGCGATGACGGATGGTAGACTCACTCACACGCACACACACACACTCACACACATTCATACCAAAAAAGCTGAAAACGTGATATCTACCAGATTAACGGAACAAAGAAAGTATAGAATTCGAAAGAGCGGAACATACTTCACACGTCAACTGATTCCAGAATATTTCTGATGAAGCTGCAATAAATCCAGCGAAACATGTCAAATTTATAAACGTTTTCCTAAAATTTTGTCGAAGTTAGTCGATTTTTTTCAATTCATATATAAGATACATTACTCGCTAGATCAATTACGACTGAATAGGTCGATTCTCACCAGGTGCTCCATACTTTCGGCCTTGTGCCACATCTAAACCACGCCTAGAAAATCTCCATATATAAGATACGGTGTATATTTATTCTTTGTGTGAATGTTTTATGCAGACATGCACTTATATGCGAGTGGTTGTTCCAGTGCCCGCTCGTGCATGTCTGTGTGTGTGTGTGTGTGTGTGTGCGTGTGTGTACATACTTGTGTTTGAGTATAGGCATATATGGATGCTAAGGATCAGGTCTCCAAACACAAATGTTTCTGTAGAAACTACACTCAGACTCTTAAGTATAAGCCTATCTTTCTTTTTTGATCCAACAAATATATATATATATATATATATATATATATATATATATATATATATATATATATATATATTTATTAACAATATATCAATCAACAAAACTGTACATAGGAGTAACATCACGTCTATATTCTTGCATAAAGCTGAGAGTAAATACCGAATGCTGATTTTGTATACGTGTCTATATTAGTGCACACGTCATCGTATCTATCGATGTATCAGAATGAATTAAAGATACAGGGTTGTTTGCATATACATCTCTAGGTATTTGGGATTGGGTCGATTGTTTGTCTATACCAAAGTGTGTGGAAGTGGGGAGGGGATAAGTTTGACGAGTGCAGTTAACTTTTCCATTAAAGATTTTAAAAAAGAATAGCACTGACTTGGATTTTTTTTTTTTACATTTTGTAAATTTATTTTATGCTTATTATATAGAATCATAGGTAAATGGGAATCCGATTCGTTTTACAACTAGAAACATAGACATTAATTCCCTTTCCTCTGTATGTGGAATTACAGAAAGTTTGCATGTACTGAATGACATTTTAACGGCGTAATACTTAACTACAAACTCAACCGTAGGAAGAGAAACTCGAAGAGTGTATACGTTTTATATATATATATATATATATATATATATATATATATATATATATATATATATATATATATATATATATATATATATATATATATATATATAATCATTACGTA